CACACTTATCCCCCCAACCTCAACCCCTCCCCCCCAGACATCATGTCCCAGTGTGTGGTGGACTACGCCCACGAGACCCAGGAGTACCCCGGCAAGGCCAACTTCCTCCTGGGCGCCCAGCTGTACCCGTCTGGCAACTGCCCGCGCGGCTTCCTGCGCTCCATGATCAACCCCTCTGCCGACAACAACCGCTCGTCGAGCTGCTGGCACCCCAAGTTTGACCGGATGGTGAGGATTTGGTTGACTGGAGTCAGAGAGCCAGCAGGTGGTGCAGTGTGAACAGTTTTGATGCAAATGAGCCCCAGCAAGAATGCTCGAGCGCGCAAGGTCGCACACGCTCACACGTGCTCTCTTTCACCCGCTCGCTCGCTCTACATGCAACTGCTCGCACACGACCCCGTCGCAATCAGTATCCTGACATTTGCCCTCCCGCGCCACCCACCCCCTCGCCGCCGCAGTTCAACGAGACCCACGGCGGCAACGACATGTGGTGCTACGTGGACGTCCACTGGAGCAGCGGCGTTGCCAACCGCGCGTTCTACCTGGCCGCCAAGGGCCTCAACCAGACCTGCGACCAGGCCGTCAAGCCTGCCGCCATCGGTGGGTGCGGGGTGCAGGGAGGGGCCCAACCCCACAGCTTGAAGGGCCCGCAGCAGAGCAGCAGACCCGCGGGTGGCCATCTCGGGCCTGGCTGCACGCACGCCAGCCTGTGACCGGTTAGAACCCACGCCAGTCCGTGCGCCCTCGACCCAAAGGCCTTTCGATCTGCTCCCTGCTGAGCTTAAATAATACCTTTGCCCCACCCACGTACCTTTGTCTTCTTTTACTCACATCAACCCCCTCCCCTCCGTTCCTGAATCCCGTGCGCCTCAGGCCTGACCAGCGCCTGCAACATCTTCTACCGCGCCCTCACCAGCTACCTGTCCAAGGTGAGATCTGAGCCCCTCGGATCAGATCACCGATGCTTGTGTGTGATGCAGCCACGACCTTATCAGAGCACGCCAAACACCCAGTCCAAACGCGCAATTGCCGTCTCCACACCGCCAAACCAAACCTCTCTCGCCTTAAACTAAAAAAAAGGAAGTCACACCAGTTCAAACCCCACTGCCCGTCAATCAATTGAACAATGATGTCTTTTCTCCATTGATACCAGGTGGCGGACTACCACGAGCTGCGGACTGCGACAGTCCAGGCTGCGAAGGACCTGTTCGGCGCCAGCTCCCCCGAGGTCAGTGGGTCATGCAGGGTTGCCAGGGTTTAGGGGGTGTTGGAGGGCAGGGAACATCCGCGGCTGGCAGCAGGAGCTGGGGTGCGGACGCTTGAGAGGCAGAGGTCGCTTCAGCACGGGCATGGAGGGTGCTGTGGGTCGCAGTTTGCAGCACTGGCCGGTCTGCGGGCACCCGCCAGCGCTAAATTGTGTTCACATGCCTAGAGCCACGCGCACCCCAAACTCTACCTACATTTGTTCACGTGGCCCCGATCACAGGCTGCCTCACTCCCCCTACCATTTGCCCCTCACCACCACCACCCAAACGCTTGATCACGCAGGCATCCTCGCTGGCGCAGGCCTGGGACATCGTGGGCGCCCCCCGCGCCCCCTACCCCAACACGAACGCCCCCAAGTGCCAGCCCGGCTTTGCCACGGCCGCGAGCTGCATTAGGGGCCTCGTGTAGGCCCTAGACCGGAGCCCATTGGCCCCGGCCCAGCGGCGGCGCCATTTTGGTGGCGGGGCTCGCGCCATCGTCGCGCCAAAGCGCAGCTGGCGCGACCCTCGTCGTCCCCAAGGCGCCGCGCGGGCGTTTCATATCAATACTTACTTCTTTGTGCACGTCGGCTCGCTCATTGGTTATTTCCGGTGGCTGGGGGCTTGGGAGGCAGCTTATGCATGCATCACAGGGCTTTGCGTGGGCCCAGGGGGGCGTCACTTACCCTAGGAAACAGCAGGATCTGTAGGCTACAAACCCAAAAAAGAGGGCAAGCACAACTCGCTTCCACATTTTGAACAGCTCGATGCTGCATTTTGCAAGCACCCGTGGCTCAGTCGGGCCGCCCAGTGTGGTCTGGCTGGGTCGTGCTGTCACTGCGTGACTCCCGGTTGGCGGGCTTGCTGCGGCCGCAGGAGGGGCGGCGCGGTTTGCCTGCGAGCGCAGTGCAGCCTGGGCTTGCATGACGACAGCGGATGATGTCTGTCAACCCCAACTTGGGGCCCCGCCGGGCTCCTGGCCGCCCTGCCATGCTCGCACACAGCGTGCATGAAAGACAGACACTTGCACGTGCCCGCCCAATGCCCCGCCATGTAATGACAGACCAGATCCAGCGATCTTACAGTGCCAGACCGATGCAGAGAAGCTGGGCGGTCACGCGACAGCACCCATGCGATTCCCAGCTACTGGGCGGCCAGATCGCGATTCACGAGTAGGGGATAAACGCCGCGTTGGGGCGGCCGGCGACGGCAGCAAAAATGGGGCCACACAGGCTTAAATGCAGACAGATGAGTTCATGACATCCTGAAAAACATGAGGACGAAGAGGGGTTGCCTTCCAGCCACCACATACACACAGGCCGTCACTTGAGAAAGATGCGATCGCAGAAACGGCTCCGCGGCGCCGGCTCAAAACCCTTGGCGCGGGCACGACAGGAGGCAGTTCTGCAGGCGGCCCTTGCTGGCCGGCGTCCCCGATCCCGCCGCGAAGCCGGCCCCTCCCCTCGTCACGCGGCGACCTTGAGCGCGGCGAACCACGCCGCAGCCGCCTCGAGCTGCTGCCCGCCGCCGCGCGCGCGCCGCGCCTCGACGGCGGCCTGCGCCGCGGCCGCCCAGGCGGGCGCGGGGCGGTACCGCATCTGGTGCAGCGCCGCCCCCAAGGCGGCCAGCTCGCCATCAGTCATGCCCGGCATGACTACACCCGCGACCTCGCCGCAGCGCGCGAGCCACGCGGCGCCCGGCGCGCCGCCGGCGCGCGCGGCGGCCGCGGCGATCGCCGAGACGTCCCCCGGGGTCGGGGTGGCGCGGGCCGCCGCGTCACCC